GCTTAAAGTAAAAAGTATGTTTATAGACAGTAAGTTTTCCGGCTTAAAGTAAAAAGTATGTTTATAGACAGTAAGTTTTCCGGCTTAAAGTAAAAATGTATGTTTATAGACAGTAAGTTTTGCGGCTTAAAGTAATAAGTATGTTTATAGACAGTAAGTTTTCCGGCTTAAAATAAAATGTTTGTTTATAGACAGTAAGTTTTCCGGCTTAAAGTAAAATGTATGTTTATAAACAGTAAGTTTTCCGGCTTAAAGTAAAATGTATGTTTATAGACAGTAAGTTTTCCGGCTTAATAAAGTAAAAAGTATGTTTATATACAGTAAGTTTTCCGGCTTAATAAAGTAAAAAGTATGTTTATAGACAGTAAGTTTTCCGGCTTAAAGTAAAATGTATGTTTATAGACAGTAAGTTTTCCGACTTTTGGTTGATTTTTTCATGATAATATAATCATTTTTTAATGAAATTTAAAAATTACTTAAATTCTTATGTCGACTGGAACCTAAAGTCGCTGAATTCTAAACACCTGGCGCAGGTGATCTCCAGGAGTGTTTTATAAATATCAGGTGTTATTTTTTGTTGGTGGTAGAGTAGGTGATCTCCAGAAGCGTTGTATGTAATTTTTGGTGGTGGTGGCGCAGGTAATCTTCAGAAGCGTTGTATAAAGATCAGATGTTTTTGTTGTTGTTTTTTTTGGTGGTGGTGCAGGTGATCTCCAGGAGCGTTGTTCTGTATGTGCCATGGTATCTCCTGTCTCCGCCAAACACGGGTCTTGCTTGAACTGCTACAACAAAAGCAACGGAATTTCCCTAATGAAGAGACGAGCCAACCTGACAAGTGAAAAGACCGTTTCACCCAAGCCCTCGCTATCATCCAGTCTTACGGCTTACAGGGGTGTCGTCACGGAGAGCGAAACTTCTCGAGCGCCTCTACTGTTCGGGATTTTGGACCAGATGATGTTAAATTACCGTGAAAAAACCTGCCAGCTCTCGCCCCTCAAACTAGTTTAGAAAACAATCCTTAGTTATCTACATTTGCTCAATCTTTGTGTTTTAATACATTTCAGTGAACAGGCGGAATGACGAGCGAGTTAGGCGGCCAGTGTTATCCGTCCCTAGAAGAAATGTAGAAGTAGCATAACAAGATTATAATACCCCTCCCCCCTTGATTTCCCCTCGCTCTGACATCTGCAGACGTTATTTTTGCTAAAATGTTAGACAGTTGTTTCCTGAACTTTTTTAAAATACCATGTTAGTTTGTGGGGCGCTCGTGATCACGATTTTTTAGGTTCTAGTTGCTGCTTTCTGTCATACAAAACCTACAAAAAGCATCCTCATTTTTCCTATATTTGTATTCTTGATACACGTTTTTGTAAAGTTTTTAACTAATTGTACAACTTTGTATGATTATTATGGCCTAAACTAATCGACATTAAAATTACCTGGACGAATCCAAACTGGATTACAAAGTAAAAATTGTTGCTTGTTTGAATTCCATGGACGAATAAAATCTTGTATTAACTAAGAAGATTACTGGATTACAAAGTAAAATTGTTGCTTGTGTGAATTCCATGGACGAATAAAATATTATATTAATTAAGAAGATTACTGGATTACAAAGTAAAATTGTTGCTTGTGTGAATTCCATGGACGAATAAAATCTTGTATCAATTTAGAAGATTACTGGATTGCAAAGTAAAATTATTGCTTGTGTGAATTCCATGGACGAATAAAATCTTGTATTAATTAAGAAGATTATTGGATTACAAAGTAAAATTATTGCTTGTGTGAATTCCATGGACGAATAAAATCTTGTATTAATTAAGAAGATTACTGGATTACAAAGTAAAATTGTTGCTTGTGTGAATTCCATGGACGAATAAAATATTATATTAATTAAGAAGATTATTGTGTGTTTTTGTTTTTTTACTGGAGAAAAGCTACGCTTATTCTAGTCAAGAGCTAAATAAAGCTTTTTGTTTTACAAAAGAGGTCGCTTTTCTAAGCTAGGGATGGTATATATATATATGTATTGCAAATGTAATTACTTTTCGTATAAATAAAATATTTCAAATATATCTATTGTGTGCTTCATATGTTTGGCATGAGTTTAAGTGGGATAATTTATCATAAGGTTAATTGCTTAGGAAGTATTAAAACCTTTAATTTTTTTGGACATTTTTATACTAAAATAAATACGTCAAGTAAACATAAGTACTTTAGAAAAACTTGAATTGAAAAAAAACCCTCATAAACAATGAGGGTTTCTCTGTTTTTCTTCAGTATAATGAGCTATTTATTGAACCTCCAATTTTAATATTATATTTTCATTTGAGACCTCTAGCTAAGAAATGAGTCCTCGGAATGCTTTTTTTTCCCCCGTACCTGCACTTATTACAATCACCAATTTGATAGGCTGAGATTTTTTCCCTTTTCCCCCCCGGACGTGATGTACACTATACATAAAGCGAAACTTAATTATTTGGCCTTGACTTAAAAAACAAAACAAACAACAACAATAGGTTAAAAACGAAATAATTTATGAATCGTAATCAGAAAAGCAAACAAAGTCGACTTATAATCTACAATATAAGTAAGGGATCTGGTATTTTGGAGTTTCTAAAACTTCACGTTCTATTGAACGTATTTAATAACCCCCCCCCCCCGAGGGTGTAATTAAAATCGAACGATTCTTTTTGTTTAATTTTCCTTTTTTTTTCTCCACAATTCTTCAGTCGAAAGTAGGTACAGAACAGAAACGTACCTAACCGGTTTAAATTCCAGGTTTGTACCAGTTTACCTAGAGAAAATATGATAAACCCGAAATATCTTAATTCTCGTGTGATTATCTGTTTGTGTGAGGATCAGTATAAAAGTCGTTTTTCAAGTTGTATTTTCAGACGGAGGTGATGGTACCATGACAACATTAAAAACCATTAATGGTAGTTCAAAACTGTCAGAGTCTCAGGTTGTACTTCCAACAGAGCGTTATGATATCATAACATAGTGAAAAATCATATTTAAACTATGCTTAAAACTGCTGTGTTTCAGGTTACCTTCCTAAGTGGGGAGGGGGGATAATTACAACATGAAAAATCGTAATAGTTAAAATTAGCTGTTACCCAAGTTACCTTCCTAAATGGGGAGGGAGGGGTGATGATAGCATGACAACATGAAAAATCGTAATATTTAAAATTAGCTGTTACTCAGGTTACCTTCCTAAGTGGGGGGGGGGGGGAATAATTACAACATGAAAAACCGTAATAGTTAAAATTAGCTGTTACTCAGGTTACCTTCCTAGGTGGGGAGGAGGGATAATAATAACATGACAACATGAAAAATCGTTAAAGTTAAAATTAGCTGTTTCACAGATAACCTTCTTAAAGAGGTAATGTTACCATGGCAACAACAAAGAAAGTTAAAAAAAGAATCGTTGACGTCACTGTTTGAAATACTTTTCAACTTAACGTTTCCAAACCCACTTTATAAATAAATGGTAAAAAAAAGTATTGTTTCTTCTTCGAAGTTAAGCAGAAAGCTACACAATGGAATATCTGTGCTCTGCCCATCACGGGTATCGAAACCCGGTTTGTAGCGTTGTAAGTCCGCAGAGATACCGCTGTGCCACTGCGAGTAAAAGAAAGAAAAATACCACAAGTTTTCGTATTTTTGTTGTTGTTTTTTTTTTGGAGAAATGGTTTTCACCAATAGCAAGCTAGGGGTTGAAATATCAACAAAATCACAAACAAAGTTTGTTGTATCGTTTATCTATTTTCGCTTTCTTTCTTAAGTTGACACACGTGCTTACGTTTTGAAAAAAAAAGTAACGAAATATAATGAACTTTATCGTTTATTATTTGTGCCTGGAAGTTTGTTTTAAACTGTGCTGTACTTCTTTCGTATAATATATCTGCCTGATTATAAGGCCTAGTGGTCAGTGTTCCGAATGTGCTTTGTTCGTGTATCGCTGCCACAAAATCTCGCTTCTCAGTTTGGAGTGACAGGTGCGTTATAAGAGTGGCTGTCAAATGCCACTATTCGTTTTCGATAATCCAATAGTTGGCGGTAGGTGCTGTTGAATAGCTGCCTTTCCTCCAGCCTATGAGTTCAAAATAAGGGACGACTAGTTTCATATACAATCTACATCTTACGACGCTTCAACACACCACCTTCAGGATTTTTATTGAATAAACCGAAAAAGAGTAGTTTTTAATTGTAATTTATCTATGATTTTACACCAGTGTAAAAAATGTTGATACCCACTAAGTTCTATTATATAATTCACGGACCATGAATTAATCAAAGCAAGATAAGGATATTGTTCAAGCTATTTTACTCATAAAGTTTATGATGCATTGTTCCATCAAATAATGTTCCTCGGTGGGACAGCGGTAAGTTTACGAACTTCCAACACTGAAATACGTGGTTCGATTCCACGCGGTGGACACAGTAGATAGTAAAATGTGGTTTTAATCTACAACAATGAAAGAAACAATCATTTAGGTATCATGATTGTTAACGATGTTTTCGGTCATCAACCTAATAACACGTCACGATGTTTGGCCAGCCGAGGAGACTTAGATTAGTCCTAAATCATTATAATAAGTTAGCAAATCTCCAGTTATTTCGAGCCGGACGGACAGTGTGTCTGAAACTTTGTTTTCAACTCTTTTGAAATAATTCCCTTTTGAGGTTTAATGCTGGCTTTTGTGAAAATATTCTAGTTTAATTAGATAAACTGTGGAAACGAATCAGCTGATGTCATCGATTTCATTATCTATTTCGTCGAGTATCAAAAGAAACTCGAAGTTCTTAATCTGATTCCACATCAGTCGGTGCTAATGATGTTTGCCTGAATTGCCTTATCTCGATAGGGTTAGGGTTAGTGAAAGGAGTGTTTACCTGAAATGCTTTAACTCGATAGGGTTAGGGTTAGTGAAAGGGGTGAAGTACTTTCTCCTGTCTTTAGGCGTAGACCTTGAAACGCGCTAACTTATGGCGCAGGATTCCAGACTTGTTTGTATTTCAGGCGCTTTGGTATAAAGTAGGCCTAGAACAACATCCATTTTCTCAAATGATTACTCTGACATCTAACGTCTGCAGGATAAATTAGTAATTGGAAGATTGCCAAGAAAGATAATCGAAGCTAAGCTTGTGCTCTATGATGATGATTACGGTTTCTATAACAATACGAGTGAAAAAAGTATCGTAATGTATCCTATAATATTTAAAGAACACGTAACGTTTCGGGTATTACTTGTGGATACGAAACGGAATTACACTCGTAAATCGTACTGTATTGTTCTAATGTATTTATGCTCATGAAAAATTAAGGTCACGTGCCTTACGTTATTACTACAAAGTGAGCGAGTGTTAGATATAAACAATATTGTTAACCCTAAACCATGCTCCGTTAACATTTTCCATGTGCCTCTGATTAGGTAGTTATGCCGAGAAAGTCATGGTGTGTGCTCATGTGTATTTGTAGCCGAGTTTTATTTTTTTGTCAGATTAGTCCTAACTATTCCTAAAAACAATTGTTCTCTACTGACCTATCTGTCAGTTGTGTCTACACTGAACCAGTTCCTTTGCATGGTCCGTAAAAGGATCATTGTTAACTAGGTGTTCCGTTAATCTGAAGCGGACAAAAAACAGACCTGAATATAAATAAAACGAATTTCCTTTCTTTCAGAATAAGACACTTTTTTTATCATTAAAAATATTTTACACATTTGTTTGAGGTCTAGGAAATCAGCGTGCTTGGATTTAACAAGACTTGACTGAGGCTTAACAAGAAGATGTGATTGTAACTTTAGTTAATGGCAACAATATAATTTTAAGAAAAAATATACATGTATCAGTTTTTGTACCGTTGGAAAAACTAACAATTGTATTCACGTTTCATGTTTTAGAAAGCTGTAAGGATCCATGGTTTCATGTTTTAGAAAGCTGTAAGGATCCATGGTTTCATGTTTTAAAAAGCTGTACGGATCCATGGTTTCATGTTTTAAAAAGCTGTACGGATCCATGGTTTCGTGTTTTAGAAAGCTGTACGGATCCGTGGTTTCATGTTTTAAAAAAGCTGTACGGATCCATGGTTTCATGTTTTAGAAAGCTGTACGGATTCATGGTTTCATGTTTTGTGCGCCACACAATTGAGTTATTTGTGTTTATAACTACTGACCTACTCTGGTTATCTATCATTTTTCTCCTAAATCCTTGGGGCTTTATTTAATAACAATGACTTCACTAGTAAGGCAGTAAGAAGTCAATGACAATATATATATAAATAACGTTCAAGTATTACCAGCGAAACCCGAATAACTGATTTATTGTAATCTTATTCTTTCAATAATAACACAATATAGAATGGAATTCAAACGTACCCGCCATTAATTAGCCATGTGGAGCCAGATTCGATTAAATGTTAAATATTCATCAGCCTGAATGTCATTAACTAAAATAAACATTAACTTTGTTCTTTAGCTTCTTCCAGAGTTATTAACCCTATAAAACAAACATGTGATGATGTAAGAATCGTCTGCTGTAATCGGAGTGTTTTATCATACTATAAACATGTTCAGTGTTGACCGTAAACCTCGATAAAGTTACACTTAATTATTCACCTAATTCAACGGCATTGAAGCTAACTTTTAATCTTTCTTTAAAACACAAAGAATCGTAAAACAGAGTTTTGTGAAAGTGTATTTTTAATGACCCCTTCTTCAAATAAAGATGTAATCAGATGAAGGGCAGTTAGCTACTGGGGAAAAAAAAAACAGGTTATTCTATTAAACTAACTTTACTCTGACATTATGTGGTGATATATTAACAATAAATCCACAACATAACAAACAACAAACAACGCTTAGACAAACAATTGTACATTAAATATTGAATCATCGCGCCTTTGTAGCTTTTATAAATTCCAGACAAACACGTTTTAAGGTTTGTTTTGAATTTCGCGCAAAGCTACACGAGAGC